GACATACTGTCAGTATGGAATACAGTGTGCAGGTGTTAATCAAGTTAAATTCCAACAGCCAATCAGCAAGAAGTATAGAGGAAAGCTGCATGCCTATTGGTTGATGCCCTGCATTCCATTGTGATGACTCATGCCCAGACGTGGTAAACATGGCACACTAACACAGTAATACATTAGCTATAATACAGCCAAAAAACTCAAATAAAACCATTCTAAAAGCCTGTATCACAAACATTTAAAAAACGCCTAGGGGTATTTGCCCACTGTACCTCCATACCAAATTTCAGGACCTTAGGCCCTAAAATGAAGAAGCTGAATCCATTTAAAAAATGGCAGGAGGAGGAGGAGGAGGAGAAGAAACATCAGAAAAAGCAATATGGTTTCACCACACCACGAAGTGGTGTGGTGAACCCATAAATATCAGTATTCCAACTGACCTGTTCTGAACTCTCCTGTATCTGTGTATACAATCATCAATCATCAGACTACCATGTCTTACGGGGATAAGGATGAACCACTAGAGTTAACACCATAATTGCGTACAGCTGACCAGCCGTCAGAACTGATCGCCCTTCTCATGTGTTTTTCAAGGCTGTGATGTAAGGAGTGACCTAAAGTAAGGTCAAAATGTACTGCACACGATAAATCATAGAAGAAAGCAATATGAGCTCAGTTTATTAATTGAAGTTAGGAAATCATGCAATTAATTGCTTAATATTAGTTACAAACATATACATATTCATGTTTACCTTCGCAGAAGGAAAACATATTGTTTTTAATTTTGCTCTGTTTCTTCTTTCTCTTTTTCTCCAAACAAATTGTGGTTGCTGACCTGAACCAGACGTCTGTCACCATGGTGATGGGTTACATCATGTTGCAATTTTATAGCAGGAGGGGTTTAGACTCAGAAGATCACAGAATGAAGCAATATGAGCCGGTTATCTATGACAATGACAATCAGTCAATGTCAACTTAAGTGCATATTCACGCCCTACATGGGCCAAATGCACTAAGTGAGATAACTTGGGTAAAGGTATAGAAGAAACAAGTGTTACATTTCTGTGCTACGTCTCTATCTACAGGATCTCGTCTCTCTTTTTGAAACATGTATGGACAAATTTACATAGTTTTTCATTTACATCGTAGTTCTTGGATGTCATAATATGTTTGAACAATTCTATTTTCGGTAAGAATGTATATTTCTTTTCTAACTGTAAGGAACTAATAAAGGATTTCCGGATGTCAGTGTATAGCAAGCATTCTAAGATAAATTGTACTTCATCCTCTACTCAGTTATTGTTATCATGAAAGTTCATCTGTGTTGGTAGTAATAGTTAAATGTCAAACTTTATTCCAACACAAGCTTTACACAGAGATCAAATTTTCAACGACCACTGTCGCCTTCATCAGGAAAACTAACGACCAATCACTTCAAAACATAATCTCGCGAGATTTCCGGTTACAGACACGTGATCTTATTCACACGAGACTTTACGGATACGTGACGTAAGCAATTGAAAAAAAGTGCCAGGGAGTTTATATCGTCCACCGTCTCTGTTAAGTGATGGCTGAAGTGCTCTGATATATATGGCGCAGTCCTGTTCAGTGTCCAAAATTCTAACTTATGATGATGAAATCTGTTGTTTATTGAAGATGCAACAATCAGTTCTGCACAGTGAATCAAAGATATGTTTTGCTATCTGGTCATCGGTGTGTACAGGTATGCGAAAACTAGAAAGGTAACATTTGAAAAGCAAATACATAATGTTTACCTTCATTTGGTCTAGCCTAAAAAGTACTCCTCTATTTATTTTTACTCAAATACATTCATATAGTATACGGTGAGCAGCGTCTCCAGCTCTGTCCTGCTACAAAATGTAACCCAACACCACAGGGTGTCTGCTACAGCACCAGTTACCATGGTGACAGACGTCTGGTCCAGGTCATCAACTTCTGCGAATGAACGTTACAATCTCTTTGCGGACTGAGTTGACCTTCTAGTCTGTTAAGCAAGTGCAAATTTGACCAGACGTTCCTTTCATCACTGAACACTATTTACAGAAGAAGAACTTTATTGCGTAACAGTTGTAGCAGGTACAACGTATAGCAAAACACATACATACATACATACATAGTAGGTGATGCTAACAGTATCTAATACATGTAGTTGTAATAGATGGTATTTCTAACCGTTCTAAGAATCGGATCTACTTTCATATGCAATGTACAACAATGAACATGTACTAATTAAACTAATCTAACTCCATTATTAGTAATAATATGTACATGTATAATATTGTGTCAGGAACGTATTGCATTTTCTCGTTTTGTCAGCGAACTGTGTATGAATTGGCCTACATATGCGGATATACTGACAGGGCATGATAAAAGCATATTGAACACATCTGTCTTTGTATGGGGTAGTGTTATATCTGTCTTACATGCAATATATTGTAACAATTTTTGTCGGTCTTCATCATAAGTTGGACAATCTATAATAAAATGTAATTTTGAAATGTAATAATGTAATCGTCTTCAAAACGCTTTTATGGCATGTGGGACACAGTCTCTCATTGGCTGGAGTGTCACAGTGGCGACCTTTTTCAATTTGCAAACAGTGGGCGCTAATCCTAAGTTTGGTTATGCTATTTCTGAATGATTTGTTTTGGATTGATAATAGATAGTTTTCTAGACATGTCTACTACCCTTACAGCATGCGAGGGTTATGCAAAATATGAACACCCTTTCGAATTCTGTCTCAAATCCATTAGCTACAATTTGACAGGAAAGAAACTGCATATACATTGTGCGAAATTCTCCACTGTGAAAGTGTTACGAAATGAAAGAGGCTTATTTAGTTATACAATCCTTCTTTTCAAACGTTGGTGCATGGCCATTGTCAGCATCCAGACTGCCGTAAATACAATATATCAACCTTTATGTATTTATCTATTCATTACAATTCACCACGTGTACATGGAAGGCATGGTGGAACATGTGCACCTAACTGCACCTTTTCAAAGTCACCATGCCGACAAATAAATAGACAATGTGCATAAAAAATAATAAAAAAAAACAGTAATAAACCTGTATTTTGATCTAGTGAGAAGTACGGCCACATGAAGCACTACAAAGGGCGTGTGGACTTACTAGCATCTGAGGGCACTATCTCAACCTACCATGATCATTCCTATGGCCACAGCAAGTGATTTGTATGGATGACATCAGCACACGCATTGACCTTTACCTGATTTTTTGGGGGAAAACAAGAAATGTTGTCGCCTTCTGACAATGGTGAAAGTGCCAACAATGGGGCAAAGATGTCTGTTGCCATGCTAGAACGTGGAAGTATGAAGAGAGGAGACAAGATCTCTGATTTATTGTTTTGTCTTTAACTTTGATGCAGTAATACATTTCATTCCTTTTATA